GAGAGCAATGATGCGGTAAAGGACTTTCATAAAGCAAAAAGGAGCCTGGGTGTAGTGATGCAGTGTGTTGCTTGTGCTGTTAACCAAAAGGTCAGTGGCTTGAATCCACCAGCCACTCTGTGGGAGAAAGATTGGCAGACTCAGCCTCAGAAACCCAATTGAAGGTCCCCAAGAGTCAAACCGACTTGATGGTTGTAGGCTCTGGCTTTTAGAAAACACGGAGTAGAAACTACTACTAAAGAGGAAATGCTCTTGTTAATAAGCGTCCTTAGGGAAGAGGAAACTAGGACAGATGGGGCAATCATTACCATCCCCAAAACTCATTACTGTCGAAGATTCTCCTAATTAGAATTCCTGTCCTATTTTTACAAAAGGGAGGAGAGGGTGAGTGTTAGTATAGGAAACACACTCTTATCAACCTTCTCTAGACTGAACTGTATCATGTGTAGGACTCTCCTTACTGGAAGGTATGAAAAAAACTTAATCCATAAAGAAGAGTCACTATCCACTCAGGTCAGTTTAATAGATTTGGATTCACAAAAGTAGATTACAGTTTTGACACTCAAATTAACTAGCTATGTTGTTGTTGTGTGTTGTTAAGTTAGAAATGACCCATAGCTGAGCCTGAGCTTGTCTTCAAAGGCAGGTAATTGCATGGGCGGAAACTGCCCATCCTTCTCCTGCAAAGAAGCTGGAGGATTTGAACTGCATACCTTTGGGACTGCAGCACAGCTTCTCACCTGTAGGCCACCAGAGCTCCCTAACTAGCTATGTAGCTGCTGTTATATACCACTCAGTGGGAACTGACTCCTGACCCTCCAGAGGGTTTTCAGAGGCAGATCTTTTCCTCACAGAGCAGCCAGAGGATTTGAACCACGTGCCTTTTAGTTGATAGCATAACTCCTTACCACTAAGCCACGAGAGCTCCCTGTCTATGTAGAGCTGGACAAATCAGTTGCTCTACTGGATCTTAGTTCCTTTGCCTATAAGCCCTAGTGGCACCGTGGTCAAGTGGTCAGCTGCTAACTGGAAGGATGGTGTTTGGAAGACACCTGTTGCTTTAGTAGGAGAAAGACGTGGGCATTTGTTTCCTGAAGATTTACAGCCTTGGAAACCCTATGGGGTAGTTTTACCCTGTTCTGGAGAATTTTTGTGAGTCAGAAAAGTTCACGGCAACATAATACTAATTATTCACTAACTCACTGCTGTCAAGTTGGACGTGATTCATAGCTCATTCTTCAGCAGGTTTTCAGAGGCTGTAAATCAAAACTGCCCATCTTTCCCCCATGCAGCAGCTGGTGTAGTTGAACCACTATGCAGCAGCTGGTGTAGTTGAACCACTAGCCTTTGGATTGGCAGCTTTACTCCCTATCCACTAAGCCACCAGAGTTCACTAATGCAAATTACTAAAGAACTTTAATTTTTAAAGTGTTTCCCAGATCTAATTCCTACTTGTGTAGGAATTTATAGGTAAATTAGGAAGGAGTAAGCAGAAGGAAAAGCAGAAAGACATTTTTTTTAATTCCTTTGACGTTTATCCCAGTGAGCAGATGGCCTGTGGACAAGAGGCCACAATTCAGACATGGAGATAAAGTTGAGTCATTAAAACCACAAGCTGACTCAATCATTGGCCTGAAATAGGAACTGTAATACAATCACATGGATTCTTCTCCTTGACACTCAAATCATTGTTCGCCCACACCCTGCGGATCACAGGAGTTTTCAAGTCGCTTTCAATGAACTCGCCTTGATAGTGACTCTTTTCTAACTCCTCAATGGATCTTTGTATACTGGTCATTTCCTCAAGTCTCCAGAAACTAGAAGTTGAGTTTGGTTGGTTTTTTTTGTTGTTTTGTTTTGTTTTAAAAGAATTCCTCTAAATTTTAGGGAAATGGCTGTGTGTCTTTGAATAGGGACAGCTGCCTCTTAGTAAATGAGATTTGTATAGCAGGTATGCTGGGAGTGATCATATCACCACCAGGGACAGTCAGGGACAGTGGGACAAGGATCATATCACCACCAGGGACAGCCATGTCCAGTGGTCACAGAGGGAAACCCACAGCCACATTAGCCTTTATATTTTTTTTAAACTTTTTATTTTTATTATTTTGTGTGCGTGTACCGTCAAATCAGATCTGACTGGTACAGGAGGATATTGCTCCTCCTTCTCCGGCAGAGCATCTGGTGGATTCGAACCGTGTACCTCTGGGATTGCAGTGCAGCTCTTGCCACTAAGCCACCAGAGCTCCCCTTAGCCTTTATATTTTGAGAATGGGGTGTTCTGGCTTCAGCCACCTTATTCTCTTCACCTCTTAATCCCATCACCATCACTCAGGAGAAATAAACACAATCCCCAAACCTGTAAAGAGACCATTTCAGACCACCTTTCTTACTTTCAGCAAGAGAAAACTGAGTGAGGAACATGAGCTTACCTAAGGCAACAGCATCACAGCTAGAACTGAACTTGGGTCTTGATTCCTATCTAATCCTATGCTGTTAGTACATTACTTCAATGTCAGCATTCTGCTTAATGTTTAATGGAAAGCCACATCACTTTACATAATGTGAATGTGCCAAGATCTAAAAAAACAGAACGGTTGTTCTGGTGGGTTTTTCCTTGTTGTTGTCAGGTGCCATCAAGTTGAGTATGACTCATGGTGACCCTATAAACAAAATATCTGAACCCTGTTCTATCCTGCGCCATCCTCATACTTCCTGACACACAAGAGCTCATTGCAGCAGTCATCATGTCAGTCCACCTGGTTGAGGGTCTTCCTCTCCTTTGCCGACCCTCCACCCTTCCCAGCATCATGTCCTTCTCCAAGGAATAGCACCTCCTAGCAACATGTCCAAAGTATGTGAGGCGAAGCCTCATCATTCTTGCCTCAAAAGGGCACTTCAGCTGCACCCTCTCCAAGACATATTTGTTCATTCTCTTGGTCCTCCATGGGATGTTCAGTGTTAAGACAGTCTCTAGATATGTTCAGGTGTGTTTAGTGAGCCCAGAGTGCAGAACGATAAGGCTGGTACCAATTTAAAAAAGAAAGAATGGTTGGTACCAATTTAAAAAACACATAAGTTTTCATTTTCACCTTCTTTTCACTTGACTGTCTTTTGGGAAGTCTTCTCCTATTCATTCCTCTGGCAGCAGAACCTGCAGTTTGACTAATTTTGGTCTTCTGCTGAAAGGTTAGGTTCCAACAAAGTCCCTGTATCCCCTGCCTGCTAGTCCTGGTCTCCCACTTTGGGAAGAAGCGGAAAAAGGGGCTTCCCCAGCACGGGGACACCACTGATGTCTGGCTGTTTGTGCACAGGAAGCATCTGGGATTCTAGTTCCACAGGAAGGGACTGAAAAGGGAATTCCCCATCAAAAAGTCTGATGCTGGCTGACCAGGAGCTGAGTGGGTTATGGAAAACAGTGAGATGCAACAGACTTTTATTTGGCTCCTGCCGTATACCATCAAGTCGGAACCCACCCAGAGCTGACCCTTCAGGTTTTCAGAGGCAGGAAATTGCATGGGAGGAGACTGCCCATCCTTGTCCCATGTTTATTTGGCTAGGACTGCTTAATGTAAGGCCACATTGCCTTATATGGTAGGTAGGAAACAAAGTGTCAACTTCTGAAGTCTAAACACTAAAGAAATACTAAATACTTTCTATATAACCATCTAGCTACCAGACTAAACTCTTTATCTCAGAAAGTTCTTGGCTCATCACAGTTACCTATTCTCCTTTCTAGAGGGCCTGTACCAACACAATGCAAGGCAATGGACAAGAATTGTGACAAGGGAGTCTTCTGTTTAGGGAAGGCTCTAAAGTCAAGCACAGTAAGCCCTCACAAGGGAATTTCCCTCTGGTTACTCAGAGTATGAATTAAGATTCATTAGGAAAAATTGGCAACTTTGGGCCAGGACTCTGAGTGAGTGTGAGTTTGTTCCTAAGGTCCCCCTTTCTAAGCTGTCATAGGTCTGACATAGGTTCTACTGCTGTGTCAAAGCAAACTGCCTAACTTGTCTTTACAATAACCTCTAGGTAAAGCTCATATCAAAAAGGCTTTTTGAGTTCATCAACCAAAAATAGGGAGCATACCTTTAATTAAAACAAAAGGTCCTTGGGGCTTAATGATACCTGTTCTGTACCCCTCACACTTCACCCTAAGAAAGAAACTGTCACTGTTAGAACTAGAGGGTGCTTTCACTAGACACTCAGGTACATGAGAACCCCATCTGAGGGGAGCCTTGGCTGCGTTTTCTTTTGGACCAATCTCCTGGCCATTGTACATTTTCTTTGTGGGATCTTGCCCTATACTAATGCCTGGATTATCTATCCTCTTAGCCCAATAATTCTAACAAACTCTGGCTCAGTGTAATCCATTTAAATCTTCTGAAGATCAGGAGAGTTTTTAGGGGAGCTGGTTGGGGAAGGCTAGGATAGTAGAGAATCACTCCTCCTGAGAAAACATGGTTCCCAGCATATCTCCAATTGAGACGCCCCTTGACATTCTGACACTGAGGAGAATGGTTTACTTCCTATTATTATTATTATTATTATTCGCCACTGGATTGGAACATATTCATAGCTGACCTCCCAGTGGGTTTTCGGAGGTTGTAAATCTTGTGATTTTGAGAGTAAGGGCTGACAGCCTTACTATTTTTCTCTGTACTTTCTCAATCTGTGGTAGTTTTGTATTTTGGCTCACTTCTGTTCATCACGCATACACCACACTGTGTATCCTACAGCATGGCCCCTTGTTACAAGTTTCTGCTTCAAGAATGGAGCACAATACAATAATCAACTGTAACTAATCTATTATTAGTCACTCAAGCCTTAATTCTCCTAGTCAACAGACACTTTCTAACATGGGAGGAAGAGGGCTAGATGATCCACTTTAGAAACAAAAACCTTTATGACATCACCTTGCTCTTCAGTCCAAGCCTTGCAGGACCAGGGGCAGAGGAGCCTCCCGTCTTCAGTCTCCAGCTCTCCAAGTGATCGCTTACCTTGACGAGGTCCTCTCTTCCGACGGAAGGCAGCACCTGACTGCAGCGCCTCCAGAAGACTGTCCATCACACCTGTCTCATCACCCTCTGTGGTGAACAAAGATGGAGACGTTAACTTTTAGCCTGACCAGCCTGTCAAAGAGCCAGCTCCACATGAACACATGGCTGTTTCCCAGCTTCCCCTCTCCAGCAGTGACTGGGTGAAGAGGGCTCAATGTCAAGTCTCAGGAGCCCATGTCTACTTGTATCTTTTTAGAAAAGATTAAAACAAGGACTTTTCTTGCTTACTTTTTAGAGCACCCTTGGTTATATTTTCCCACATAGTCCAATGATCCCCTCCCCTCACCCCAATTTGGACCAGCACACGTAACTGTTCAACTCCAAGATCAAGATAAGTGAAAAGAGTGTGATTATAAAACAAGGGAGTATCAGGACTATCACGCCTTCTTTATCCTAAGGTATTTAATGACAATATACATAAACTTCTCATGGAGAGGGCTTCTGGCAGGGCAGGGTTGAGGAAAAAGGTGAGTGACCACTTCATATCACTTAAGTGGAGCCTCCAGTGCCTGTATTTTACACAAGTTTGTTCTATGTAAGACAAAACATCTGGTTGGAATACGAAGAGTTAATGTAGAATCCCTAATCCAACCAGGCTCGGTTTCCATGGCAACAGCTCAGGGTGGTGAAATCTAAAACTGTGAAATCCCTAGGACCTGGTTGGCTGCCAGCTTTAAGGCGGGCGCTCACTGTTCACTACGCCACCTGGTGGCAAATCCTCACCAGTGCAGCTGACCCACATTCCGACCCCACGCGCTTGCCCAGCACCGCAATGCAACGGGGGCAAGGTGCACTGCGCCACCTGCTGAGCGGTGCAGCCCGGGTCCCTCATGCCAGGTGGGTCTCCCTTTACCCCACAGCATCCTAGACGGTGTCTGGGGCCAAACCCCCGGGGACCTGGGATGTGAGAGGAGGTGATGAATACTTGCTTTGAACTATTTTAACGGGATTACTAGGACAAAGTCTGGGGCTGGGTTAAGGACAGGGTAATTGCTTCCAAGAAAAGAAAGAAATGTAGGCTGCTTCTGGCAAGCTTGAGTTCCTGGTCTATGGAGGCACAACAGGAATTGCCATAGCAAAGACTCGGGATGCAAGAGGTGCTCCAGTAGACCATCTCTTTTCTACTCAGCAGATGCTCTGACTCATGGCTTCTCAGGTCAGGGAGAGTGGCATCGGCTCAGTGCCCTGGGCAATGCATGCTGTGTTTCCGCTGCCCAGAGAGAGCAATCAGTGAGAGGGGGGCAGGGAATCAGCAGCAGGAAAGCAGCAGAGACAGGAAACACAGGGCCAGTAATTGAGGCCATATGTTTCAACAAAGACATGCTTCTGGGAGTGAAACAGAGATTTTGCTGGAGAAAGAAAAGTGTGGCCTGCTCCATTCCCTTCCCCACCCCCCAGGGCCAGCCCATTTACAATTTGGTAGTGTACAAATGCACTAGGACACTGGAGACACACTACTGCGAGCAAGAGATGGAAAGGGAGGACAAGTCATCACTAAAAGATGGGAAAGGGTCTAGGAAAACATTTTTAGGGAAAAAAAAGAAAGGCTCAGTAGAGGGAATGATAGTAAGTCTGAGAAAAACCTTTGGAAAGGCGGCAGGAGTGTGTGTTACAATATGAAAATCACTAGGGATATGAGACATAATACAAGAACCAGTAAAATAGAAAAAAAGGTTTTGCATGGAAAACAAGAGCACACACTTAATGGATATGGGGTTAAGGTCCAGCACCAGGATATTAAAAGTAGAAGGCTGCCAAAAATTATTTGCCAGGAGTTGAGCTCAGATATAAACTATTCTCTCTGGCCTCTAAATTCTAGACAAAGAAGCCTTCGACATGTTCCTGTCTCAACTCATCTACCTTTCTTCACGTCCTACCTGCATTCATGTCTATGAGTTGCTCTCTTTTCTGCTGCTTCTCCAACCGTTCCTTCTCTGCTTTCTCCTTGGCTAATTTTGCTCGCCGCATCTTCTCCTCCGTCTCCCGCCGCTTCTGGTTCTCCTTGACTGCTTGCTGGGGTGTGGGGGGGGGGATGCAAAATTAACACACAGAAATGCACAACCCCCCTCCACACACTCTCACCAGTATGAGTGAAAAACGCCCACAAAAAGATTCAGTCACAGGCACTCTGTTTACCAAAAACATATTCCTAAAGTTGTGCAGGTCCATGAAGAATTCTTCCACAGACACCTTCTTGGGGTCAAAGAGGAAGTACTCTCCCAGCTCTTTATAGAGGGTCTCCATGTTAGAGTGCATCATTCGAAGCTTGTTATACTGTTCCTGTGCATCTTTCACGAAGCTGTGCAGCCAAGGAGTAAAGGACCAGGACCAGAGAAAGATTCAAAGAGACGCATGCTGGTACATACAACCATGCTCATATAGCACTGCTTATAACAGTAAAAACAGAACAAATAGGAATAATCAAAATAGACAGATGGTGAGCAATAAAATATGATACATCTGTGAAATATAAAGACAACAACAAAACCCAAATCCACTGCCAAGGAGTTAGTCCTGATTCACAGTGACCCTCCAAGGGTCTCCAAGGCTGTACACTTTACAGGAGAAGGTGGTCTGTTTATCTCCTGAGGAATGGTGGGTAGGTTTGACTGCTGGGCCTTTTGATCAGCAGCCTCTACGTTATTCACGATGGCACTAAGACTCCCCACACTTAAAAAAGGAAAAGAAAAAAAGTTAAGAAAGAAGATGTTCTGTATATACCACTAGGGGAACTAAGATGACTAACAAAATGTGAAAAAAGTTATACAGTACAAAAACATTTAAAATAAATTCATGAAGCACAAATCAGAAAAAAGTCTTTGGGAAGGGGAAGAAGGGTGTATGTCTGTTTGCAGTGGAGATGTTAGAGGATGACTGAGGGAGATTTTATTTGCTCTTTTATTTACTTCATCTGATCCCAAAATGAGAATGTGTTCAATAACTAGGTATTTAAGAAAAGGAAAAAAGTTAAAAGGGAAAAAAGATCTCATGAGATCTATTCTATTTACTCCCCATGGGCAGTTTTCTTTCCCCTCCAACGGTTTTTCTTAAGCCTGAGTTTTGTTAGGCCAACCTATGTTTTCTGAATAAGGAAAACAGTGAGGGTCGGCCTGGCCCGAGAGAACACCTGTCGTTTTTTAGCAGTTATTTTTGGTGCTGGAGAAATCAATGTTTCCCTTTTCTGCATATGAAGACCTCTTTTCTGCCTCGTACTCAGTTTCCTTATTGCGAGAAAGGATATGGTCATTTTTTCAACAAACTTGTCTTTCTCATCTGTGGCAGCTGGGAAATTCTGAACATCACGCTCCACATCAGAAATTTGTTTCTTCATCTGATCTAGATTCTTTTGCAAGTTCTCAGCGGAAACTAAAGAAAACATGAAAAACAGAGAGCAACTGTTTACTAATCCCAGCCTCAAGACCCTCTGGCTTCCACCCTTTGGGTCACCACTTGGTCTGCACACACATTCTGGTATTTAATCTTTTTAGTTCCCTTCTAGAAGTCCATGGGGTCACAGTCTCATAGATATTAAAGAACATAATTTCAGAGGAAGGAGACATATACAAAAATTAAATGGCTGGGCAGATACATGCAAACCAGCTGTTTTTAAAAAAGATGGGAAGAAACTAACTGGCTTCCCTTTTTTTTTTTTTTTTTTTTGGTCTTAGTTCCAGGATAGTGAGGTCTGATTTTTGTTAAGTCTATTTATGCATTTTGACATGAAAACAGTGAGTGCTGACTTAGACTAAAAACATCTGTCTTTCTTACAGTTATTTTTTGTGTTGGAGCAACCAGGGCTTCCCTTTTTCACATGTGAAGACCCCTCTTCCGCCCTGTGCTCTCTTATGGCTTAGACACCAAACTTAAAGCCTCTCCCATCTCCACTTAAAACAATCTGAATTGACAAAGCATAAAACAAAACAACGGTCTGCAATGAAAACAATCTAAAATCTAGACTTTAGGGGTCCTGAACCTGGCTCACCTCGGCTAGCCTTCTCCACATGGGCAAGTTCATCTGGAAACTTGAGGACATCAGGATAGTCATTCTCACACAACTCAGCCAAGAAGTGCAACAGTGTCATCTTCTGATCTGCAGACTTGGTGTCTCGAAGCTTAGGACGAGGAAAAAAGTGTCAGTTCTGACATGTCCGAGATCATCTTAGGCCAATAGCAGTCTGTCACTCGGTTGTCCTGTTCTACCTCACTGGCTCACCTTACAGAGGAAGCTGATACTGAAGCCAAAGGCACCAGCATTCCTGGAGCCAGCATTCATGTAGTTTCCAACAAGCAAGGTAATCTCCAGGAGGTTAGAGAAGCTCTCACTTTTTCGTAACTCCTCACATGCAGCAGTCACAGAAACAATCTCTGGCTTGATGTTCTCTACTTGCTCACTGAATTGTAGCTTGAAGAGGATGGCATTCAAGCGAGGCCGCAGCCGGGGCACAGTGCCCATCTAAGTAGGGAGGATATTACATTAGATTGCAGATAATAGAGAGAAAGAGAGACACATGCAAATTTTTGAAAAAGTACAAGTTTAATTCTCTGTGGCCTAGTGGCAAGAATATACACTGCAATCCTGAAGGCATGAGGTTTGAGGCCACCAGATGCTCATGGGAGAAGGATGGGCAATCTTCTTGTGTGCAATTAACTGCCTCTGAAAACCCCCTGGATGGTCAGGTATGGGTTGGTTATGACTCAATGGTACACAACAATAACAATCACAGGTTTAAGCCTCTTATCAAAGATTATGCAAAAGGAGCAAGTGCCCAGGCTGCTCTCCATGAAGTGGGACACTTACCACCACACCAAACTGCTCGGACTCAGCCAGGTCATCATATTCATCCTTCAGTTCAGAAAGCATTTTTAACTGCTCTGGCTCTGGCATCTGCTTAATGAGGTTCTGAAAGAGAGAAATGGGCTGTTCTCAGTCTGAGGGGGATGAATGACAGCCTGACTCTTTTATTCTTCTGTTAGTCCCATACTCTGTCCAAAGACTGTTAGGAAGGAGATAGGTGCTAGAAGGGTGAAGAATCAGCTAGTGAAATCATGGGACTTGTGAAGAGGTATCAGGACTGACAGAAACTTCTCCAAAGCCAGTAGCCTCTTAAGTCAACAATGCTGGAAGAGCCTCCTTATTTGAGAAGAGGCAGATCTAGGTGACAACCTTGCTCCTTACCTGGATCATAGACTCTGTCAGGACAGCCTCATTCACCTCCAGGATGACAGCCTTAATCTCTTGATAGGGCATTCGGAAAGAACCCAAAAAGATTGCTGCCGAGAAATGAGATGAAAAGACATGCTCTTCTTAGACTTTTCCTCTTACAAATCTATTGCACAAACCTATGCAAGACAGTCTTCCTAGGAGGGGTCTCTTAAAGTCACTCTCAGAAACCTCAGATAGCTCCTCACTGCCAATATAATTAAAATGCAAGTCCTCGACTCCTATGTGTAAGGGTCCCCCCCTCAGCTTTCTTCCTCTTTAATCCTGACATTTATGAAACACATCAGCAACTGTTCCATGCATTGCACTCCACAAACACCATAATTCTGTGCCTTTGCCCACACAGGAAGTCTTTGATCCTTTCTGTCTATATACATCAAAGGTTTAACCCCATTCTGTTTTAATTCCCATTTCCATCAATCTGTCCTCAAAGTTGCCACGGCTTTGAATTGCTATGATTAAGTCTTAAACTGCCATTTCCCAATCTCTAACAAATATGTCCTATCTTCTCAGCTTTTTTCCATTTTTAATTTTTAAATTGATCCTTTAACCTCATCAGAAGTCTCAAAAAAAAAAGTCTCTCAGTCTTCTGACCATTCCATTCTGAATGTAAGTTTTATTCTGCCATCTCTATTTAACAGAGACCTTACTGCTTTTCATTTCTCTCATTCTCTATGATTTCAAATTCTTTCGTTTCCTTTTTAAAAATTCTCTTTGCTACATGTGGGTCTATGAACCACCACTAGTGAAAGCTCTGCGGGCTGGAGTCGATGGACTGGTGGTGGAACCAAGGAAATCTATAACCTTAGCACTGCCTAGTAAGCTTTCTATGTGTGCTTTGTCCACTCTATCTCTTCTCAGCAGTTCCTCCAAAATATCCCCATTCTCTCCCACCACCTCCTCACTGTCCTACGACCTTATTCCTCTTTACTGAGGAAAACTGAAGCCACTGGTCAAATAAGTTGCATGGAAGAAATTGTGCCAATTCTGTAAGTTTATCAGGAACTATACTCATGTACTTTATCAGAAACTGTATCAGTTCCTCTAGTTCCAACTGAAGAAGTGACTGTTTAAATCTTGCCTTTTCTTGTCTGTATTTATACAGAATCAAATTTCTCTTATATATTAAAAAAAATCTTTCCCTGACTGAATGTTTCTTCTAATGATATCTTCTCTCTTTTACTTTACAACATTTAAAAATCTACAATAGTATATTCTTTTACCTCCACAATTCTAATTTATCCTTCAACACAAAATATGAGTCCTTCCCCTTTCTCCTCCACCCAAAACCCCAAATCAAAACTGCTACTCAGAGAAACCCATGAGTATTAGAGTTAGAATGCAGGGGTTTCAATGGCTGAAATTTGAGAATAAGAACCCTAGGCATTTCTTCTGAGATGCCTTTAGTAGATTTGACCTTGCAACCTTTCAGTCAGTAGTGAACACATGAACCATTTTCACTATCCAGAGACACCAAGAAATTAACAGCAATCATTTGTTGAGTATACACTCTATTGAGTATATATCTGTGTAAGGCGCAGTATCTTAAACACAATAAGCAAGCGACATACATTCTGACATTTAAACAGATTCATATTAATCTTTTAAGTTGATGTTATAAGGTCTACTTTAAAGAAAAGGAAACTAATACAAGAGAAGTTGAGCTATTCATCTAAGGTCACACCATTACTAAGTGTCAGAACAAGAATTTAAATATGGAATTGATTCTGTTGTTGTTATGTGCCATCGAGTCACCTGTGACCCACACACAGCAACTCGGTATACAAGAGCCCTAAACCTGCTCCATCCTTTGCCAACCTTATTTTCTCTGGCACACCTATTCCCATTGCCCTAGTGATGGAATCAATCAATCTCATCATAGAGGGTCTTCCTCTCCTGCACTGTCCCTCTACCCTCCCCCCAAGCTTGATGTCCCTCTCCAAGGACTGGTCTTTCCTTGTAACATGTCCAAAGTATGTGAGATGAAGCTTCAGAATCCTTGCCTCCAAGGAGCAGCCTGGTTTCACCCTCTCTAGGATGAATCTGTTTGTTCTCTTAGTGTGGTATATTAAACACTCTTCTCCAGCACCACAGCTGAAAGGCATCAATTCTCCTTCTATCATCCCTAGTCATTGTCCAGCTCTCTGGCACATAGCAAGCCAATTGTGAAGGCTATGGCCTGTATCAGGTGCACCTTAGTCTCCTGACTGACATCATTGTTCTTCAGTACTCTGGAGAGGCCCCAGACAGCCGAACTTTCCCAGTGCAATTTGAATCTTGATTTCCTGGCTGCTGGTACCAACAGTGTTAATTATGGAGCCAAGCAAATTGAAACTGTCAACAATCTCAATCTCTTAATCATCCATCATGATGCTGCCAATCAGCCCAGTGTTTTCTTAATGTTGAGGTTCAATCCATATTGACTGAAGGCTGTAGTCCTTAACCTTCTGCAGCAAGCACTTCAGGTCCTCCTCAGTTTCAGCACGCAGGGTTGTGTCATCTACATAATACAAGTTGTTTGTGAATCTTCCTCCAATCCTGATGCCACATTCCTCCTTATACAGCACAGTCTCTCTGATGATCCGTTCTGCACATCCATTGAAAAGGTATGGAGACAGAATATATCCCTGGTGCACATTTTGAACCATCAGTGTCTCCTTGCTCTGTTCTGATGACTGCCTCCTGGTCTAACAACAGGTTTCATGTAAGTACAATCAAATGATCTGGGAAGATGGAAAAAGTATAGAGTCACTGTACCAAAAGGAATTGCGGAATACAGAAGAATTTCATGAAAGAACGTATGAGCAAGAGCCTGTGGTAATGAAGGAAGAAGTTCAAGGTGCTCTGAAAGAATTGGCAAAAACAAAACCCCAGGAATTGATGGCATATCGATTGACATATTTCCACAAAGAGACGCTATCTAGATGTGCTCACCAAGTTGTGTCAAGAAATCTGGAGGACAACCACCTGGCCACAGACTGGAAGAGATCTGTATTTGTTCCCATTCCCTGATAAGAGTGTGGAAATTATTGAACAGTATCATTAATATCACATGCAAGCAAGATTCGGCTGAAAATGATCTAAAAACAACTGGAGCAATTTGTAGGCAGAGAACTGCCAGAAGTGCAGGCTAGGTTTTGAAGAGGCCATGGTAGGACTTTGTGGTGCCCATTTACTTTTGGAAACTAGTGAATGTGGTGTCAAAAAAGGCATAAATTAAAATCTTTTCAGCCACTTTCTGCCCATGAATACGGTTTCACTAGTGTAGGAGCTGCATAAGTTTACAGCTTATGAAAGAAAAAAGAAAGAAAAAAAAGTCTAAATACTTAGAAAAATCTCCTCATCCATGCTTTGTTGTTTATTTATTCGTTTTATTGAATCACTCATTAGATCTTTATTAAGAACTTGATCTATGCCGTTTTCTAGGTGTTTTGTATAAATATAGGAATAAAACAGGTCAAAATAAAAAAAAAGAGGCCATGGTACTAGGGATATTATAGCTAATGTTAGATGGCTGTTGGCTGAAAGCAGAGAGTACCAGAGGAATGTCTACCTGTGTTTTATTGACTATGCAAAGGCTTTTGACTGTGTGGATCACAACAAATTGTGGTTGATTCTGAGAAGAATGGGAATTGATTCTAGAACCTTTTAAAAAAAGGTACCTAAGTTTATTATAGATTTTAACGATATCTAGGATAGGTAGAAATTTAGAAATAATAATAAAATAAACAGTGCTGGCAAGCTCTGGTGGGCTATTGGCAAAAAGGTGTACTACAATCCCAGAGGTGCACGGTTCAAATCCACCAGATTTTCTGCTGGAGAAGGAGGAACAATCTCCTCCTGTACCAGTCAGATCTGATTTGACGGTACACACACAAAAAAAATAATAAAACAAAATAAAAAATAAATAAATAGTACTCTTTATTATAAATTCCACACAGCAAACTGAGTTTCACAGAATGCACTGATTTTTGCTGAGCTCTTATATCTATAGGCAACTGTGGTTCCAAGAGACAAGTGAATGTAGTCTTGATATCAATGTTAGTTGCCTTTACATTAATGAGAAAAGTATTAAGGACCAAAAACATGAAAAAGCTTCATTTATTTGCCAATGATGTGAGCAACTTCTTTCCTCAGCCAGATAATAGTTATGAATACAGGAAGAATATTTCCTCATTTTGTGTTACACACAATGTAAAAATTATAGATATAATAATACTTATATAATCTTACTTGTTAATATCTTCTCCACTATTTTTTTTAAAATCTAATCTTTCAGAGCCTTTATTTCTATTATGCTATACTGCTAGATCCAAAGGACATTTATCTTGTCTAGATTTTACCTGACCCTTGTCTTCATTTCACATTGTTGACTACTCTCTTCTAGAACTTTAAGATGTTGTTTTCTCTGCCTGCTCCTTTCCAGCTTTCTTTGAAGTTTTTCTCTTTCCTACTTACCTCTTAAATATTAATGTCCTTCAACTTTCACGGCCAATCTTGAAACTAACCTTCAAATTCAGTCTCTTAAATCTGTTATATCCAACCTAAACTTCTCTCCTGACATCTATACTCAAATGCTACACCACTCTTCCTCTATATTCTCCAAAGGATGGAGGATTTGCCTTGTGGATCATCCTATTCCAGTAAATGGCACCACTCTCCATAAATCAAAACCCAACCTAGCTCATTGGTGATGAACTGAATCTGACTCCTGGTGATCTATATATTTAAATCCAGAGTGATCTACAACCAAGAAATACCTTCTTCTTTATCCTTTCAGTCAACGGCTTAATTCTATTTTCTTAACATTATTTACCTGCCTTTTCATTCTATGACCCTAATTTCAAGTCTTGATCACTTCTTACTTGCTTTAAATAGAAAAAGAACATAACTGAATTATCTGGACATAATATTCCTGTACTTCAATCCAGACTCAAATCTCTGCCAAAGGAACAGATCACAGAGATGTATAGTCACTTTCTTGATTAAAATTCCTTCAATACCTGTCATAGTAAAATACACTTGATTAATTTAGCTAAAGTGTTTATGA